TTGTTCTATTTCTTTAAAAAATGCTGATGGGATTTTGATGGGGATTGCATTAAATCTGTATAACGCTTTAGGTAATATGGTCCTTTTAACTATGTTGATTCTTCCAGTCCAAGAACACAGAATATCTTTCCATTTTTCTGTATCTTCTTCTTTTTCTTTTAATAGGGTCTTGTAGTTTTCATTATATAGGTGCTTCACATGTTTTGTTAAATTTATTTGTAGGTATTTTATTCTTTTTGTTGCAATTGCAAAAGGAATTATTTTTCCGCTTCTTTTTCTGATGCTTCATTATTAGAGTATAGGAACGCTATGGATTTTTGAACGCTGATTTTGTATCCAGAAACTTTACTGTATCCGCTTATTGTTTCTAGCTGTGTTCTTGTGGAGTCTTTAGGGTTTTCTATATAAAGAATTATGTCATCCTCAAATAGGTTGTCATTTGTGGATGACAGAGTATCTTCTTTATCAGATAATCAATGAGAAAACATGCAACACCTTTCATCTTGTAGGAGGTACATGGAAAAAAAGCTTAATTAGAAAAGCGAGTTGAATAACCAATGAGAGGACTTTAGAGAAAAAACTCAACAATCATTACTAGAAAACCTACATGTTATCATACAAATTACTTCCCATTTTGAGATGTCTTCATGAGTTCATACTGTCTTTTCCAAAGTACCCAATGAGTGGACAGATCATAGAGCTATAACATGCATGTGTACAAAAGAACATGCAGTAAGAAGAATATGTATTAGCCTTGCAGTTGCTAAAGATGTTGGTGATGGATGAGCTAATAATCAGTTTTCAGAAATGTTTCAAAGTTTTTAAATCTTCTTTTGAAAAGTAGTTAAGCAGCACAGCAAAGAAAATAAAGGAGTTCCTGGCCCAGTTTTAGAGCTCTGATACAGAGACCAAAGAAGAAAATTAGAAGACAGGATTCTTCCACCTCCAGAAGTCCTTGATGGAAATGAAGGTGTTAAGAGCAAATAAGAAGCAATCATGGTTTAAAGAACTCGGAGACTACCTCGTGAATGTCAACTGTCTGGTAAGACAATACTTCTGCCTCCAGAGATACAGCTTCTGTATGAGATGGTGTACTTCAGTGCTGCTCACACCCTGCTCCATGAATTGCCCTACATGCAACTCTCAACAATCCTTACTACTAGCTAAAAGATGAAGATCTGAAAAATGAGGAAAGCTATACTTCAAAGATTGCCCCCAATACCTGCATAGCACATAAATTGTACTGAAGCAAAGCAGGCTGATCAACTTTGTGAATTGGTCAGAAGCCTCTGCAACATCAACAGCTTCTAAAGAAATGCGTGTAAATTCCACTCTCTCAGAGAGTGCATGAAATTATGCATTCTTGGTTTATTAAAGCTGTTTCTGAATTCGAATTTTTAAGATATATAAAACCTACCAAATAGAAGAATGATCATTTGGACAAGACTAACTTGAGGTGCCAGCTAGAAAACGAATGAATGAAACCATTTAATTTTTAAAAAAGGAAACTACTCATATCTACATACCATTAAAGGAGTCTGTTCTGACCAGAAAATATATTTGCAATCCCCATGTGATTTTTCATCAGAAAATAAACATGCTACCCCATAGAGGTATATGTCTAGATATCTTTGGGTACAGAATCTAACAACTTGTATGTTGTATCTAAAAGCTCTCTCACATTACTGCTGTTGCTTTCAAAAACTCATTACTAAATTATATGTGAATCTTTCCTGAACATATGTAATATATACGTGTAATAAATTCCTTTACCTAAAGGGGAGAAATGTCATGTTCAAAAAACAATCTTTATCAATAAGATCAATTGATGAAATCATAAAAATTAACATTGCTGAGAAAAATTGTGATTCATGACTTTAAGGAGTTTCGTCTTCTTGAATTGGCTACTCCCCAAATTGATTTATATGTAATCCCAATGAAAATCCCAGTTGCCTTTTGTGTTGAAATTGAAAAGCTAATCTTAAAATTCATATGAAAATGCAAAGAACCTGGAATAGCCAAAACAATCTTGAAAAATAAGAAAGCTGGAGGACTCACAATGATTTCGAATTTTACTACAGAACTACAGTAATCAAAACAGTTTGATACTGGGATAAAGACAGACATATAGATCAATAAAATAGAACTCAGAGTCCAGAAATAAACTCTTATTTATTGTCAACTGATTTTCAACAAGGGTACCAAGATAATTCAATGGGGAAAAAATAGTCTTTTCAAGAGATGGGTGCTAAAGAATGAATTTGGACCCTACTTCACACTATTTACAAAAATTAACTCAAAATGGATCACAAACCTAAATGTAAAACTAATTTTTAAAAAAACTCTTAGAAGAAAACATAGGAGTAAAAATCTTTGTGACCTTGGCTTTGGTGGTTTCTTAGATATGACACCAAAAGCAAGGACAACAAAAGAAAAAAATGTAAATTAGACTTCAAAATTAAAAACATCAAAATTAAAAACATTTGTGTTCCAGAGGACACCATCAAGAGAGTGAAAAGACACCCACAGAATGGGAGAAAATATTTGTAAGTCATATATTCCGTGAGACTCATATTTAGAATACATAAAGAACTCTTATAACTCGACAATAAAAATAATTCCAATATAAAAATGGGAAAAGGTGGGGTGGCTCCATAGAGTAGTGGTTAGCACGTCTGCTTTACACACAGAAGGTCCTGGGTTCGCACTCCATGTGGAGCCACGGAACATGCCCTGGGTGCGCCAGGCCCTGGGTGCGCCAGACCCCGGGGTACACACTGTGAGCATGTGCGGAGAGATGCCCCGCCTTCAGAGATCCAGTTCTTAAGGGGAAACAGCAACATCCATAGGTCAGGGGTGGAAATGGGGGTGGGGAATTAATTAAAGAGAGGGGAAAAATAAAAATAAAGTAAAAAATAAAAGTGAGAAAGGGTCAGAACAGATCTTTCTCCAAATAAGATATATAAATGGCTAATACACATATGAAAAGATGCTCAACATCATTAGCTCAACATCAGGGCTCTGCAAATCAAAACCACAGTGAGCTACCACTTCACACATACTAGATGTCTAGTTACAAAAAAAAAAGAAGGAAATAGCAAGTATTTATTGGCGAGAATGTAAATTGATGCAGTTGCTTTGGAAAATAGTTTGTCAGTTCCTCAAATTGTTAACACAGAGTTACCAAAGGACCCAGCATTTCCACTACTAGGTATATACCCAAAAGAACAGAAAACGTGTCCACACAAAAATTAATACATGAATGTTTATAGCATCATTATTCAAAAGAATCAAAAAGTGGAAAAAAAAAACCCTCAAATTTCTATCAACTGATAAATGGATAAAATAAATGTAGTATTGTCCATAGAAAGGGATATTATTTGGCCATAGAAAAGAAATGAAATATTAATATATGCCACAACATGGAAGAACATTATGCTAAGTGAAAGAAGCCAGTCAAAAGATATTATATATCACATGATTCTGTTTACATGAAATGCCCAGAATAGACAAATCCATAGAGATAAAAAGTAGATTAGAGGTTGCGGGGGCAGAGGAGGGGGTACGACACGAAGGAATAAAGTGAAAGGTATATAGTTTCTATTGGGGTGATGAAAATGTTCTCGAATTTGGTAGTGATTATAGTTGCACAATCTTGTGAAATACTAAAAACAACTGAGTTGTACAATTTAAAGGGTGAATTTTATAGTACATGGGCCAAACTACAAGCATGCAGCACTAAGCAATAACACTGCCTGCTTCTCAATTTCAGTCACAGGAATGAGGATTACACAATTAGTAAAATGGAAGTTTGTGATAAGTAATAACATTATTTTTTTAAATTTTGCATTCCACTATCTCTGATCAACCTTATCCTAAAGTTCACATATACATGATCATTATTTTTAAAAAATCAGTTGCTTTTATATTTTCCTTAAGTAAATAAGCAAATCTTGCTCTAACTTTAATAAATTCTTCTGGCTAAAATCAATCTTAAAAGATTATATCACCAAATTAATGAGAAAAAAGGAACATAATGTTGTTTTATTGAATTAATTATTCAGCCCCATAAAGAAATGTACTGCCATTATTTCAGCCCCCATATCACTAATAATCCAGAACAGTATTTGATTATTTGAAATCTATCAGGAGAATTAATAAAGTTTATAGTGATCTGAAAATTTAATTCTGCAGAGAAAATTAGTTTACAGAGAATTCTGTCCTGGATCTAAAATTCAAATTCTTTGAAAGCTGCTTAAATGCAGCCACTTTAAAACTGTATATACTGCAATCACGTTTTTAAAGAATTATTTGCATACGGAAATATGGTTTCTAGACAGAAAAAAAGAAAGCAGTGTGCAAATGTACAATTACTTTATTAGGCTGTCCAGATGAGTAACTAATTTTTTAAACATTTCTTCATTGGTACAACCATTGTGAAAAGTAATTTGGCTATATTTAATAAAGATGTACATACGAAACCCCAACAATTCCATACCCTAAGGGAATTCTTATTTCATATGTTATACAACAGAAAAGTAAAAAACAATGTGGAGTAAAAAAGCATGCTGCAAGAGAATGTTAATATGAAACTATTCATATTAAGCTTAGAAACATGTTAAATAATACTATATAAATGCATATACAAGTAGTAAAAGCACAAAAACACATAAATGTAACTTCAGAAAATGGAAAGAAGTGTTTATGGGACTTCAAATGTATTTGTTTTACTTCTTTTTAAAAATCTGAAACAAATGTGGTAAACTTAAAAACTGACAAAGCTAAGTGCTAGGTAAAAAGAACATAGTTTTTGTACTCTCAGTATGCTTGAAATATTTAAAATTAAATATTTATCATACGAAGTTAAATTTTCTTAGGCCAAAAGCAAAAGCAGCAAAAATAATAAAGCGGGACAACATCAAACTAAAAAGGTTCTGTATAGCAAAGGAAATCATCAACAAAATGAAAAGGCAACCTAGTGAATGGGAGAAAATTTTTGCAAATCATATTTCTGATAAGGGGTTACTATCCAAAATATATAAAGAACTCGTACAACTCAATAGCAAAAAAAAAATAAAACTGATTAAAAATTGGGCAAAAGATCTGACTAGACCTTCTTCTAAAGACATATAGCAGGTACTTAAAAGGATGCTTAACATCACTAATCATCAGGGAAATGTAAATCAAAATTACAATGAGATATCATCCCACACCTGTCAGAATAGCTCTTATCAAAAAAGACCAAAAAAAAGTAAGTATTGGCAAAGACATGGAAAAAAGGGAATAAACCTTTTGCACTGCTTGTGGGGATGTAAATTTGTACAGCCACTATGGAAAACAGTATAAAGGTTACTCAAAAAATTAAAAATAAAACTGCCATATGATCCAGCAATGCCACTTCTGGGAATATATCCAAAGAAAATGAAAACATTAACTATATCTGCCCCTCTGTGTTCACTGAAGCATTATTTACAACAGCCAAGATATGGGAATAACCAGTACGTCCATCAATGAATCAATAGATAAAGAAAACGTGGTATATATACACAATGGAGTATTATTCAGCCATAAAAATAGAAGAAAATCTTGCCATATGGAACAACATGGATGGACCTTGGGGGCATTATACTAAGTGAAATCATTTGTCTTTCTCAAAGAAAGACAAACACCACAGATCTCATTTATATGTGGAATCTAAACAAAAATCAAAAAAACCCAACTTATAGATACAGAGAACAGATTGGTACAGGGTGGGGAGGTGGAGGAGCAGGGGAGCGGTGGGGTGTGGCAGGAATAGATGAAGGTGGTCAAAAGGTACAAACTTCCAGTTATAAAATAAATAAGTCCTGGGGGTAATGCACAGCATGATGACTATAGTTAACAATAATACTCTTCTGTATAACTGAAAGTTGCTAAGAGTAAATAAATCTTAAATGGTCTCATCACAAAGAAAAAAATTTGTAACTATGTGTGATGATGGATGTTAACTATTTATTGTGCTGATTATTTTGCAATATATACCAATATTGAATCATTATGTTGTATACCTCAAACTAATATAGTTATGTGTCAGTTATATTTCAAAAAAAATCTAAATTTAAAAAGTACATTTTATATTCGTTTCCAGGTTCTGAGAAATAAACTATTATGCCTCAAGCTACCTTTGCTATAGGTAATATTTGCCTAGATATTTCCTTATCTCTGAGCTAAAAACACTAAGATGATTACGATAAAGTTCATTAAACAACAAAAATCCACAAATCATTACTATGAAATCTCCATAGGTTCTGAAAATAATTCATTAAGAAAAAATTTAGGAAGTCTGTCAATTTTAGACCATACCTGGCCTTGCATTTCCGGTCTTACAGGATATGTACTTGGGTAAGGAGCCCTAGGTCGAGCGGGAGAATTCCAGAAGTTAGAATTGTAGCTAGGATATGGTGACTGCTCCTAAGAAAAAAAAAGAAAAAGAAAAAATTCACCTTTACTAACATTCTTACATCACTCTGAAAAGTTAATAGAGGCAGATATAAGTTTCAAAACAGGAAAAAAAAAAAGCAACAGACAAAAGCAATAGAACCCCACTATAAAATCACCCATTATTAAATTTATAGATATATTACATGGTAAATCACATGCCCTAGAACAAAGCAATTATTGACTGTCTAGTAAAAGCCTGTTTTTATACATTATGCCAGTGCTACCAGACCAAATGATACACACAGGAATAGTACTCTGTCGAGATGATTAACAAAACCAGAGACATTAGATTCCTTTATCCCTCTCTTATCACTAACCTCATTACTGCTAACTTAATTAGTGCAGCATAATTATAGTTCTTTGCCGTTGTTAAGAAGGGTAGTATTTGCTTTACCTCAACAACTTTGGAACTTGAAAATGTTACTACTAAAATTTATTTCAAATTTAATTTACTAAACTTTTACTTCACTAAATTTTACTTCGAATACATTCATCTTCAATACTCAACTTCTTTTCCTGGCCATACTCTGGTTTTTTCATATTCCTCTACTCTGCTATGGTCGGCTGGCAACCTAACACTAACTCCACATCAAGAATTGATACAAAGCAATTGGTAATTTTCTCCAAGGAGAAAATCTAGCTATGACATTAATCTTTACAGCTTTTCACTCCAATTCAAAAAGATAATGCAATTATTTGCAATAAGCTAATAAATTCTAATAACATACTAGATCAACTCAAAATTTTTCAGAGTCTGGTTTAATATATATATTTGTTATCCTATAAGCTGAGTTATTTTGCTTTGAACTTTGTAGTTTAAGTATAATTTTAAACAGGATCTTTGAATTTTTTCACAAAACTTTGAATACAGTTTCACAAAGAAATTCACTGGCAGTTGTAATCATTGAGAGTTTATCATCATCTTAGTTTAACTGTACTACTTATCAGTTTCATAACACTGTTTCCAAAGCATCTAATTATTCCACATGACATTATACAAGTTGGACAAATAACATCTCATTTACATAATATAGAAAGCAGAGAATAGCTAGATTTAAAACAAATATACTTTGGACAAACTTCAGATCCTAACTACTAAATTTCTCAATCAGACAAATCCCCCTGATTAAGGCCCTCCCTTCCTTCTCCTGGTTAAAGGGTGATAATTTGACTACTTAAGTTACTTCTCTCAACCAAGAATTTGAATCTTGAGCAAAGAGATGAAAAGACAAGAGATGAAGCTGACTGACTCCAGTGGTGGTGAACTAATAATACCTTAATCCCCAGAACTACACTGGTTTCCATTCTTTTGTACTGATTCTCTGAGGTACCCTACACTTTTACTACTTCCCCACTCTTCAATTCCTCAACAAGCCTATGTCCTCCCTTCCTTACTCAGCTTCTCAACACTTAATCCCTTGCCAC